CACACGCACACACACACACACACACACACACACACACACACACACACACACACACACACACACGCGCGCGCACACCCACACACACACACACACACACACCTAATACTCGAAACGTCCTTACAGTTCCGCTGTTTAGGTCGTGCCCGCGCGGCTGTCTGCGAGCAGGCGCTGCTCGCGATGCGTGCGTAGCTCCAGCAGATTCGGCAGCCGTTCGGCCTGGCCGTTCCTCTGCGGAGCAAACCCCATCACCCCCCTTCCTCTCCCCCATTCCCCGCCGCCGAGCCCTTCTGACTACAATGCTAGAGGCATCGAGGTGGGGACAAGAGAGGGGGAGGATGCACTGGGGAAAGGGAGTGCGGGATAGAGGGAGATGCTGAGGCAATCAAGCCTGAACAGGTGCGCCCAGAGTGGACAGGAAACTCGTGTAGCATGAGCTGTGAGCCCACGAGTTGCATCCTTCACACCCGTATGCATTCTTGCCCTTTTTGCATCTAGCCCCACATATGTAGCATGAAACGGTCCCCTTGGAAGGAGCAGAAAGGGCAAAATAGGATACCAGATTATGGGTGTTGCTGCATCTGGCGCACTGCCTACAGCGATCGCCAGCCTGAGAAGCCTCACCCTCGGTAGGTTCCGCCAGCTCGGTCTCGCCATCCAACCGCTCTCCTTGCAGGTCAGAATCTGTGGCCTCTGGAACGGGATGGTGGTCGTCGCCCTCTGCCGTGTCCTCCTTCTGCTGCTCCATGCTCTCCTGCGCCAGCTGGTGTCCCTGCGGCTCGGGGGAGTTGCGCACCTCCCCGTCCGTGTCGCAGTCCTCCAAGCCGCCGCTGATGTCGAAAACCATGGGCCCAGACGAATGACAACGCTCCGAGAGTATGTCGCAAGCCTCCGCTGCGTCGTTTGGCCGAGCAATTTCACGATCCGCGCCTGCGGGCAGCACCGAAGAGGCTGGTCTCGGCGCCATGCCCAAGACATCGGCCCGCAAAGTCAGGAGGAGGTCCTTCAGGTCCAGCATCTGGGATTCGATGCCGACGATCCTCTCGGCGATGAGGGAGGGACGATTCTCCGCAGACGACGCAGCCCGTGATGTCCTGCAGGTGCGGCTCGTGGTCGTTAGGAGCGTGAGCCGTCTTCCATGGCTCTGCCTCCGTGTCCATATCTTTCTCGATGTAGGCGGCCTGATCCTTTTCCGTGCCGCTGAAGTCGGGCGACCCCATCGAGCTCGTGCCCTCGATGTTGGCGACCCGCTCCTGCAACGACCCCTGGCCGTCGGACGAGTCCATCGAGTGCTCCCGGTCCTCGGTGATCAAGGACTCCTCCGTGCCAGTGCCATCCCGCACCGGCCTGCGCAGCGCCTCCAGCACACGGTCGCCGAGTTTGCCTGGAGGATGTGCGAGCGCCCTGCGCCCTGCTCGCCAGCCGTCGAAGCGCTTCGCCATCTCGACGTCGCCGCGGCGGACGAGGCCGACCCTGACGTCCTCGGACGTGGCCTTCCTTGGCAGCCCAAGCACGTCAGCAGAGTCTCTCAGCACGCGCTCGAACTCCCCGAGGTACTGGCCCGTCACGCCGCCGTCGGCTGCTCCACGACCGCCCAAAAGCTCCATGAGCTCGGCAGCGGCCTGCACCGTGCTGCAGTGGGCCACACAGTGCCCATGCCGCACGACTATTCCTTTTCCCATGGACGAGGAAAGCCCGAGTCTGGGGCCAGAATCGAGCGCCATATGAAGACAAGTACAGTATGCAGGGTATACTGGACAAGCCTCGAGCCCAAATGGCTACGGACTCCCTCCCCCTCCTCCTCCTCCTCCTCCTCCTCCTCCTTTTCCTCCTCCTCCTCCTCCTCCTCCTCCTCCTCCTCCTCCCCCGCCTTCTCCTCCGCCTCCTCCTCCGCCTCTCGGCATCAGCGCCGCATGCGTTCGATTTCAAAATCTTGCCACGGTGTCAAAAAAAGGAGGGCGGCTTTCAAAATGTGGCTCTTGCCTAAGCGCCGCGCTCCTTCGTCTGGAACGTTTCAGCTTGAGAGATGCGTATGGTGAAGAACACAGGAAGAGTGTTCTGGCACGGCTTGGTTAGGATTCTCAGGGCGCGAAAGTCAATTTGATTCGCGGTGTTGAGGTCCCAGGAGTGGTGTTCTGGCACGGTTGGGATTGTGAGGACGAAAAATCACATTGATCTGCAGCGTTCAAGTCTGAGGAATTGAATGTTGGCATAATTGGGGATGATCAGGTGGTTGCATTTTCATGGGCCGCTTCCCGCATGGAGATACATTCTTGTATGGACCTATGAAAAGTGAACTCAGAGGGATGGTGTGTTGCATCATCTTCGATGCGTCTTGGGTGTACACTGGTCCTCCTCCTCCTCCTCCTCTTCCCCCTCCTCCTCCTCCTCCTCCTCCTCCTCCTCCTCCTCCTCCTCCCGCATTCTCGTTCTCAATCCTCATCCTCCACACTCGTGTTCATGCTCCCCCTCCTCCCCCTTCGCCCGCCTCTTCACGCGCTGGCGCCAGCCGCTGCCGGCGGCGGCGGCAGTGTGGCCAGGAGCTCCGCCGCGAGGCCACAGACAGAGAGAGCGTGAGAGAGAACGAGAGAGAGAGAGAGATGGCGAGAGGCTGCACGATCCCCAACAATTTT